CATTGTGGCTTAGTGCAATCTGTCAACCCAGATTTGGAAGGATCAATCGGAACCGAACAAACATTTTCTCATCTGCTCTCCTTATTCTTTGAATCGTCCCTTCCCTTCTCAATTCCTTCCTATCCTTTCTTTTCAATGGGAAGGTCATAATCTTATGATTATTGTCGCTTTATGGAGCAAGAAATATTTCTGGGACTTCCGAATTGAAAAAACAGCATCTATTTCTGAGGATGGATGCTCTGAAAACCTGCCATTTTTGCTTTGTAAAGCAGAAATTACCCAGAAATTAATTATTGTGAAAGCTAAAAACAGACATGATCCGGCAGGATTAGCCATGAGGATGCTGGGACAGTTATCATCAGAGATAAATTTAATTTGTCAGGTCAAACCTGTGTCTAATCAGACACAATTCTTACTTTGGTTTCCCATGTTAACTCCTCCAAAAATAATAGGAAGAGATTTCAGAGCACTATAAAATATATTGTTTTGTTCTGCTAATGTGCTTCTCGGCTGGGAAGCAATTTAATCTGTCTGGCACCGTAATGAGTTACATTTCCCCCCACTTCTGAATGGAAAGAGAAATGCTATAAAAATGATCCCGCAAAAAGAAAGGTCTTGACCAAAGCCCAAACAACAGAAAACAGGGTTGTGGTTTTCCAGACTCTAAGACAGAAAACATCCCCAGTTTAATAAATCGATTATTTTATACATTAAAGCCATCCGTGAAATTTCAAGGCAGGTGATAGTTCTACAGGTCCATTCATCTTACAAACCATGGTTTGTCCAGTTTGGTGGTGACCCCAAGAGGGGAACCCAACCCAAACAGGTTTTTCTCAACAAGCTATAATTCAGCAAAGTCACTGTGTTGTGTGAAACCTATTTCTCAGGATTTAAGGTGTGACAACAGTCAGTTGCTTCTCAGAATGACAACCGATATCATGATTATTAATTATTCAATTAACCAAGATACTGTCACTGTTTTTCCTTGCTTAAAATTTTTTTGATTTGTGCCTATTATTAAAAGGCATAGCTCGCAATATTAAACGCTACTTTTTAATTGGAACTTCTAACTTTTTCAACTTCTGGGGTTTTTTTGGCTACAGGGCTCTCCTTAATAGTCCTGTCACTTAGAAGTTCATTGTGTCTTTTTTTTTCAAACCAATCAAACCTTTATTGTCAAGGCACAACATGTGTAAAATAACATGGAAATTTTCCCCAACAAATCTCACCAAATTGGTCCTTCTCCTTGATTTTCCCAAAACCCCAACAGAAAAACCTCGGGAAGGAAAATTCAGCCTAGATTTTATTGAAGCGTTTATTCACATGCACCGTTTAATGGAGAAGTTTGAAGCTCATCAACAACCTAACATAAAAGAATTTCTCCCTGGGATCTTTTCCTAGAATTCATTGCTTTCGAATTAGCCAGCCCTTGAATTAAACCATGATCCAAACCATCATTAACCAAGCCAAGCCAAGAAATCTGAAATTTGCAGCCACCTAGCAATGGCCTCTGCTTCAGTCCTCTTAAGTATGACAAAAACCATACTGGCAGAGGCAGGAAGAACTACATATCCCATGCTGCAGCACCGGAGAGAGAAAAACAAACAAACAAAGCTCAGATCCCCAAGCGACCATGCTGGGGAAACCGTGGTAGGAAAGCAGGACATCTCAAGAGGGGATGCTCGGGGCTGCTTCTCAACAAGCCAGGGGAAGAGCCTCCAGCTTTAGGGGCAGTCTACCCCCAAAACAGACCCCCATGGTCAGGGATGCTTGAAAAAAATAAAACCAAACAGGGTTTATCCCTAACCAGAAGGGGAAGCTGAGTATCTCATCCTACTTTTGAAGACAAGCATTTGTCTGAAGTGGGATAAGGGTCTCTTGCTTGAGCTGGGGGTTGGATAGATGACCTCCAAGGTCCCTTTCAATGCTTTTATTCTGTTATTCTTCCTCCTTCCTTCCTTCCTTCCTTCCTTCCTTCCTTCTCCATTACTGGGCGGGGGGGAGGGGTTTGTCCAAGAAGAGATTGGACAACCATTTATCTGAAACGGTCTAGGGTCCCCAACAAGGGGTTGGACTAGACAACCTCTAAGGTCCCTTCCAACCCTGTTATTCTATATTCTAAGGGTTGGACTAGAAGACCTCTGAGGTCCCTTCTGACTCTGTCTTTCTGCTTTTAGATACTTAAGGTTTTTTTGGGCCCCCTCTGAGATTTTTATATTTTTAATTTTCTTTTGCAAAACTTTGGAAACTTTTCCCTGGAGAGTGGAACTTACCCACAGTGGACAACAGGAGTGACCAAAGGAAGGCCTGGCCCTTTCCGGCTTCAGCTGGGAACCCCATTATTTTGGGTTACAGTCCAGTTCCCAGCCACATGGAGGGGAAGAGCTGGTCGCACAGCCACAGAGCGCCTTCCCGTTTGAATGCTGGCGAGGGGGGCACCCTTGTCTTTAAAAAAAACCCGCCTGGCCTCCTCCCCCCCCAGGATGCAATCTCTGCAGAAATCTGGAACCAATGAGAAGATGGGGAGAAGAAGGAAAAAAATAGGGAGGTGGGGGAAGAGAGAAGACCAACGGGTTCCTCCACAACGTCCCCAAAGAGAACAAAACATAAAAGCTCGCATTGATGGGGGCTGCTGCCAGCATAGCTGGGCAGAGAGGCTGCATTCTTGGCAGGCTGTGGGTGAGGGCGAAGACTCTGTGAAAAATGCCATTTTTCTTGCCTCCCGACATGCAGAGCCTTCGGCCGGGGCCAGGAGAGGACGGGGGGGGGGAGGTCTGTCGGTTGGAGTTGGAGTCTTTTTCAGGAGTTTTATTGATGTGGAATCAATGGCTGGCAGGGCAAATCCCAATAGGGGAGAATATTTGCAGCTTAGGGTTGAAGCACTGATGGTGTTACCTAGTTGGGTCGTGAAATGTCTGCAAGGAAATCTCTAAGTTCAAAGAGCAGCAAGGACCCCACAGTCCTCCTCCCCCTCTTCCTTCCTTCCTTCCTTTCTTCCTTCCTTCCTTCCTTCCCTCCTTTCCTTCCTTTCTTCCTTCCTTCCTTCCTTCCTTCCCTCCTTCCCTTCCTTCCTTCCTTCCTTCTTTCCTTCCTTCCTTCCTTCCTTCCTTCCTTCCTTCCTTCCTTCCTCCTCCTCCTCCTCGCAAACTCCCATCCCTTCTAGCATTGATGATGTTACCTAGTTGGGTCATGAAATGTCTACAAGAAAACCACCAAGCTCAGAGACCATCAAGGACCCCACAGTCCTCCTCCTCCTTTTCCTTCCTTCCTTCCTTCCTTCCTTCCTTCCTTCCTTCCTTCCTTCCTTCCTCCTCCTCCTCCTCCTCCTCCTCCTCGCAAACTCCCATCCCTCCTAGCATTGATGATGTTACCTAGCTGGGTCATGAAACGTCTGCAAGAAAACCACCAAGCTCGGAGACCACCAAGGACCCCACAGTCCTCTTCCTCCCTTCCTTCTCCTCCTCTTCCTTTTTCTCCACTCCAGAACCCCGCTTCCCTTCTAGCACTGATGATGCTACCTACTTGGGTTATGAAACGCCTGCGAGAAAACCACCTAGCTTGGTAGGCACTGGCACCCATGTTAAGTGTTTTTGCACATTTAACCTGGACTGGCCATTGAAAAGAGATTCTTTCCTGAGCCAGTAAGAGGGGAAAATCAGCTTAATCAATTACAACTTTCCTTGCCCACAATGTTCAAAGTCAGCTGGATTTTCTCTGTTAACAAAATAGCGGAACTTCTTTTGCAGAATTAAAAAAAAGTCCCATGTTTTTGAAACACATTGCAGTTGGCATCCTGGGGAAACCACGATTTGACCCGTGTTTTAAAAAATGAATGCTAGACAAAAAAAATAATCAGATTTTGTTCATTGTGTGCTGAAAATCAGGCACTTGTCCCAAAAGTAAGATAATACAGTAAGGCAGAGGGGGAAAAAATCAGATGTCCCCCACACACACTTCTGCCCATTCCTGCCAATTTTTTAAAATCTTCCTCTCAGGCCACTATTATTTCAGTACAATCACAGTTTTTAGTAGGCGCTACACATTCCAGAAAACACAAAGGCTTGTGTTGTGTTCTCTTTTGTCTTAGCCAATTCCAAAGTGGGCAGATGGAAGATGTTGGGTTTGCAAACTGCCTTTTATTTCGAGAATATTTGTAGCTCAGAGTTGAACTGTGGGCTCCTTGGTGCTCTCTGAGCTTGGTGGTATTGTTGCAGATGTTTCATGACCCTACTAGGGAACATCATCAGTGCTAGGGAGTGGGGATAGTGGAGAGGAGGAAGAGAAAGGAAGAAGGAAGGAGGAGGAGGAGGTGGAAAAAGAGGAGCAGGAAAAAGAAGGAGGAAGAGGAGAAGGAAGAAGGAGAAGAAGAAGAAGAAGAAGAAGAAGAAGAAGAAGAAGAAGAAGAAGACTGTGAGGTCCTTAGTACTCTCAGCTTGATTGTTTCTTTGCAGATGTTTCATGACTAGGGAATATCATCAGTGCTATAAGGAAGTAGGTTTTGCAAAGGGGAGAACTGATACAGATACAGATAATCAGAGTTGGAAGGGAACTTGTAGGTCATCTAGTCCACCCCCTCACACCCAGCTGTGAAGTCCTTGGTGCTTTCTGAGCTTGATGGTTTTCTTGCAGACGTTTCATGACCATCATCAGTGCTAGTAGGGAGTGGAGGAGGAAGATCGGGATGTCCTGGGTGCTCTCTGAGCTTGGTTGCTTTCTTGCAGACGTTCCATGACCCAACTAGGTAACACAATCAGTGCTAGAAGGGAGTGGGGATTGTGAAGAAGAGGAGGAAAGGGACTACACCCTCCATCTCCGGGTAGGATATTATGGGTACTGTAGTCCCCCGGCCTCTGGAAGGGCAACCCCCATTTCTTTTATATATATATAAAAAAGAATATATATATATTTTATATATTTTCTCCTCCAGGGATTCAAGCGCATGCGTGTTGAAGCTCAGCTGCTCCTCACTTCCGCCCTTCTTTGGCTCCGGCGACGGAAGTTGGGCGGTGACGTCACCGGACATTCGGAGCGCCTGCTGGCCAAGATGGCATCGTCCGTCTTGAGGTGACCGGAGACGGGAGGAGAAAAGGCGGGGAGGGCTGGGGGAGCCCCGCGGTGGCCTCGTCTCGTCTGGAAGGGTCCGGGTTGGAGAAACACGCGTGTTCGAGGACGGAAAGGGGGGGGGGTGATTACGCGCCCGGAGGCTGTGGGGTGACGGGGGGGGCGTTCCGTCTGCCGCGGGGGGGGGGAGATGCGGGTTCACACGAGCGCAAAGACACGTGTTTGCCCCCTCATCCCTCTCCTGCTCGTGTAATTCCATCCGCCCTTTCCCCCCTTTCCCCCTCCGACGTGAGAGGCCTCGGACTGCACAACCCATCCTCCCCAGCCTGCAGAGGGACACCAAGCTACACCTCCCGTGCAAGCCGGGGATGATGGGCGTTGTTAGTTTGACCCCTCACACAAACACACCCCATTCGTTGCCTTGCAGAAGAGAAATTATTTCAGAGCTCTGGCCTGCAAACCGAGGGGCGTAGTACACGTGTCTTAGGTATACGTCTGAATGCCCACCCCTGCAGGCATGGCGACCCCTAATGGGGGTGCCAAGTATTAACATAGCTGAGCCAGGGTCGTCCCCGTCCCCACTTCCAGTGTCTGGGTTTAAACCAGGGGATCCAAACCAGCATCTGGAAAGTGTCGTAGGGGTGGGATGGGGGGAAGGCCTGGGTTCGAGTCCTCCCTCTGCCCCAAAAGCTCCCTTGCTCTCCCTTGTCTCAGCCTACCTTGCAGGGTTGTTGTTGGGTGGGTGTGTGGAAAGCATGCTGAAGGTCAGGGGCTCCCCAACTGGGGATCCTGGGGACAATTTTGGGGGGGGGGGGGAAAGCTTGGCGCTTTAACCGTTGTACGAAAGCAAGAAATTATGGGTCAAAAATACATCACATGGTTGGAAAAGATGCTCAAGGGACATAGGGCTCTGAAACCAGAACTAATTTTGTTGGGTATAAATGCCTCAGGGCTATGATAAAGGGACCATATATCTTAATTTTGTGTGTATTGACAGCAGCAGGGATTGTATTTGCACAAGACTGGAAAAATGAGAACGCCCCGTCAGATAAGGACGTAATTCAGAAAATACTGGACTGTGCAGAGATGGACAGATTGACATTAAAAATAAAGGACACAGAATATTCCTTAACATGGAATACATTCTATGAGTGGTTAGAGATAAGAGGTAGAACTTAGATGAATGAAAGATTATTGCTGTGTATGAATTAAATATAAAGGGGGTTTATACGTATAAACATGCCAATATAATTAACACAATTACAAATAAGCTAATATAAAGAGAAATTTAGTCAAAACTATTATGTTATGCTATTATTACTGTTAAATAGTTATTATTATTGGTAAATATGTTAATATTCCTTTTTGTTCTTTCTTTGCTTTTCTGTAAATGATATGCCCTGACAATACACTGTGTTCAAAATGTTTATGAATGATAGATAGATAGATACATAGATGGATACATAGACAAAGAGATGATAGATAGTTAAACAGATAGATAGATAAAATAGATAAAATAGATGAGAATGATGATAAATAAATAAGGATGATAGATAGATAGATAGATAGATAGATAGATACATACATACATACATACATACATACATACATACATACATACATGGATGCATAGACAAACGGATGATAGATAGATAAACAGATAGATAAAATAGATAAAATAGATGAGAATGATAAATGATAGATAAATAAGGATGATAGAGAAGATAGATGATAGATAGATAGATAGATAGATAGATAGATAGATAGATAGATACATAGATAGATGATAGATAAACAGATAGATAGATAGATAGATAGATAGATAGATAGATAGATTAACTAGATGAGAATGATAAATGATAGGTAAATAAGGATGATAGAGAAGATAGATGATAGATAGATACATAGAAAGATACATAGACAAACAGATAATAGATAGATAAACATTTAGATAGATATATAAAATAGATTAAATAGATGAGAATGATAAATGATAGGTAAATAAGGATAGAGAAGATAGATGATAGATACATAGAAAGATACATAGACAAACAGATGATAGATAAACAGATAGACAGACACACACACACAGACACACACACACAGACACACGTTTTGACTGGGCCAGCAATTGGACCACCTTGTTCTCCAGCTATCTTCTGTGCCACGATTCAGAAAATCCTTATCCTAACTCTGCAGGGAAGGCTGATAACCCATAAAGGATAAACTCCAGGCTATCCATTCAACGCATCCTATATATATATATATATATATTTCTCATTTCAGGTTAGCGAGCCGGCATGCCCTCTTTTTCCGCCTCAACGCAGGATTCTCTGTGAGACAGTAAGTTTCTCACACTTGCCAAAGTTTTTTGTTGATAAAAATAGGATCGCCAACATCCGATGACGGATATGGCACAAGAAGAAGAAGAAGAAAAAGAACCGCTTCCTTAAATCTGTAATTTGGAACGCTTGCTAAACTCATGGTCATAAGTCGAGCACTGCCTGAACGCATTACTGGGTGGTTTGGGGCCTACCCAGGAGTGGGATTCAAATTTTTAACAACTGGTTCTGTGGGCGTGGCTTAGGTGGTGGGCGTGGCTTAGGTGGTCATGTGACTGGGTGGACATGGCTTGGTCATGTTACTGGCTGGGTGTGGCCAACTCAATATCACTCACATCGAGGCACGCATCTCCTCGCCTGGCCTCTCGTGACCGTGGGGATGCTGCAACAGTCATAAGTGTGAAAAATGGTCATAAGTCACTTTTTTCAGGGCCATTGTAACTTTGAATGGTCCCTCCACACAAGCAAAGTACCAGCAAAGGAGGGAAAAGAAAACTCCAGAGAAGTTCCAGAGACAGGAAGTCTAGTCCTCCCAAGAATGTAATAAGGGTTAACGGAGAGGCGGTTTCTGTAAGCAACACCAGAATGTTTCCTTCCTGCCTTCCTTACAGGATTAGCCCAGTAATTTCTTCTAACAACCGGTTCTCCGAACTTTTTAGAAGGTTAACAACCGGTTCTAGCGAATAGGTGCGAACCGGTAGAATCCCACCCCTGGGCCTACCTCCTAACAAGTTCCCAATGGTTCTGTTCCAGCGTGGTCCCCATGACGACGTCAGCGAAGGAAGAAATGACCAAGTTTTGGGAGAAGAACACCCAATCTAAACGGCCGTTGTCCCCGCATCTCACCATTTACGAGTAAGACGCCTCTTTTAGTTGCAATTACGTGCGTTTCATTATGTCCTGAATTGCATTTCTTCCCTGCCGTTCTCCCACAGGAATGACATCTGCGTTCTAGGGCTGGTTAGAAAGCAGAGCAAGAAATTAAAGGATATAGCAATAACGATATATAGTAAACAGAGTATTTTGAATAAGTCAAGAGATGGATATAATTTAGTCAGAGATGAGATTTGATATCAAAGATGGATGGATGGAATAGAAAACTTAAAGGTACTGTAATCATGATAAAATATCGTACACAATGTTGATTAGAATATAATCAACCATTTCAGCCATAAGTCAAGGGCTACTTCTCCCTCAATTTGCCTGCTCTCTGAGGGGGGAAATGGCAACGCCGAGCTTTTAGCCTTGGTAGCCAAGCTCAGAATCTCAGCTCCTTTCTGTTTTAGGTCCTCGGCCGGTTCCTCTGCTGCCCGTCGGGGAGCCTTTAGGAGCATTTCCGCCCCCCCCCCCCCCCCCCCCCCCCCC